GGAGTTGAATGTTTAACCATCCAGCCATCCAGGCGCTCCTACACCGTAATCTTTTAAAGCCCCTACCATGTCATCCTTGTAGAGATTTTCTCCTTCAAGTATGATCTAATCTTGTTGTCAGTGTCTTTGCCAGGAATTTATGGAGTTCTAATCATTTTGACCAATTTCATTAAATGGTGCATTTTTGCCAATATTTGGAATTGTACTGATTTGTCACATACAACAACCAACTATCTGGAAAAAAAGGACACTAATGTTAAGAACGTATATATGTGTGTATGGGGGGGAGGGGAAGGCTTGAGAAGTAATTACTTAGGTGTAAAGGTAACGATGAATATTAGTGTTTATTTTTTCCTCTGCAACTTAAGTCATTTGGGAGAGTGAACTTTCAAAAATAAAGATTGAGGGAAACCTGGGTGGCTCAGTTGGTTGAACCACTGACTCTTAGTTTTGGCTCAGGTCATGATCTCACAGTTCATGAGTCCAAGCCCCTGACAGTGTGGAGCCTGCTTGGGATTCTCTCTCCCTCTCTCTCAAAATAAGTAAAAATAAAAAAAGCTTTTTTTAAATAAAGATTTAGGATTCTTTGTAGAAAATAAAGATATATGTATCTTTTTTGCAGCACTGTTTTAAAGGTAAAGTCAAGAAACTATCCAAAAATCCGTTAATAAGACATTGGTTAAATTAAGCCACATCTATATTATGGAATACACTGTATGATAAAGAATATGACAGCCCTATATGCGACAAAGTGCGAAGATGTTCAACACTATAAAAAAAATCAAGGATATATAGTGTGTACTTGTGTGAAAACAGGTATCTGCATGTGTTACTGTGTTGGCCTTTTCTATGTTAAAAGTTTCTGGATAAACAGAAAAGTCAACAATGATTGGCATCAAGCTAGTCTCAAGTATGGATTTTTGGTAAACTATCCATAAAAAGTTTGTGGCTTTAAAAAATATTCATGTTTAGGGACGCCTGGGTGGCTCAGTCAGTTAAGTGTCTGACTTGGGCTCAGATCACGATCTCACGGTTTGCGAGTTCGAACCCCACATGGGGCTCTCTGCAATCAGCATAGGGCCTGCTTTGGATCCTCTGTTCCCCCTCCCTGTCCCTCCCCAGCTTGTGCTCCCTCATGCTCTCTCTCAAAAATAAGTAAACATTAAAAAATGTCTATTCATATTAGAAGTACTGCAAGGAGATTGGGGATCTGTGCTACTACGTGTCATCTCAGCAACAATGAAATACGCTCAATTTACTATGAAGCAGTGATGATGGAGGAGGAGACAGAATAGGGAATAACTTCACCCATTCTCTGAGCGTCCCAACCAGGTATTACTACTCATGCGAGCAGGGTGGTATGAAGACAGAAAACAGTTTTAAAAACAAGTGGTTCAGCCACTTAGTCATTTCAAAAAACGTGAACGCCTACTTACATACTCAGTTTGCACCCTGCCAGGTGCTGAGACACAATGAACAAGAATGATCCAGTTACTACCCGCCTAGGATCCTCCAGGCTAGTTTAAGAGGGAGATATTACCAAATAATCACAAAAAAATCTATGTCAAATTGAAACTGTGCTCTAAAGAAGATTCTCTGTGGACTGAGCTGAAGGTGCACAGTATCCCAACATGTTTGGTTTTGTCCTTGAAGACTTCACAAAGGTGTTTCCATAGATGGATTTTTGTAGGCTTCTTTTTTCTTTTGGTAAGACAAGAAAAACCAAGTTTCCTTGTTTATTTACCCTAGCTGCCCGATTCAGTGCTGATGTTAAATATTAAGTATTTTAATTCAGGCCCACATAAGCACTCCACCTACAGATCATTAGTTATTCTGTTTTACCTGACATTTAATCCTAAAAACCTCATCAAATAATTTTGGAAAAATTACATACGTCCCCAACCCAACCCATGTTTGCATGCATATAGAAAGCCTAACTTGTTACCCCAAGTGGCTGTAACTTAAGTCACCAGTATTCATCGTTTATTTTTTAAGTTACTTAAATTGCCAACACAGAATACCTGCAGAGCTAATAATTTAGTATGCCCCAACATCACAAATTTATGGTAACAAACAGCCATATTTCAAAGAAACGTGTTAAGAAAAATATCCTACTTTAAAAGTGGCACACATTTACCATTAATTCACTCAATAATTATTTGCTGAACAACTTATTAGTACCTGCCTGGCCAAGTGCTAGGTCCTTAGGATACTATAATGAACACGATACATTTCTTGTTTTTTGTTTGTTTGTTTGTTTTTAAAGAGCTCAGAGAGGTAGTAGAAAGAGGAAAACAAAACAAAACAAAACAAAACAGGATTCAGGGTGATGTGTGTGCTATAAGCAGCAGCATGTAGGCAATATTACGAGAGATCAGAGGAACAGGAACTACTTTTGCCTGTGAGTCAGAAAGGCTCCAAAGAGAATCCCAAAGCAAGCTCCGCCAAAGGAAACTCTTTGGGTATTTGCCTTTTAACTTTTAAAACTTCTAAGGTGAACTTCTAAAAACACAGCTATTTTAAATTATTTTTGTGGATATTGAGTGATCTACAGTGTCACACAATTTCTATATACAAAGGACTTTGTGTACTATGAATCTCAGGCTTATCATTTTATTTTATTTTATTTTATTTTATTTTATTTTATTTTATTTATTTAACATTTTTATTCATTTTTGAGAGACAGAGTGTGAGTGGAGGAGGGGCAGAGAGAGAGGGAGACACAGAATCTGAAGCAGGC